TGTGTGTGTGTTCTGAACAAGGATTTGAGTGAATATTCGAAAATTCACTCAAGCATATGTGACCTCTAAACTTTGATTGCCAAAACCCCAAAACATGACACTGGATGATGATAAAGAGAGGGCAGGCGGGGATGAGTGCATTTTATTGAACGTCATGGGAGAGAACATTAAATAAATGAATAGAATTTTGGCAACACCATCAGTGGTCACATTCACAGACCAGAATACAGGGACCAACATACACACACACACACAACACACCATGACGGAACATCGAACGTCATGTGTTGCATTACAAGTTTGTTTTTATGGCTATGAAATAGAATATATAAGTGTGTGTGTGTGACTTGGTGTATGTGTACATGGTCTCTGGTGTGTATGTGTTTAGAATTTAATATCCATATGTGGATGTACGTACGTACTTGTCTGTTGCTTGCTTACCAAATTTAACAACAACAACAATACAACCTCATCTTCCCTACACTTCGACCCCATTTGCCATTTTGGCAGACCACATTGACACCCGTAAGCAAAAATTAAATTGAAGATTCAATCGCATTAGCCGATGGAAGACAAACAATGCAGATGCTGCTATAGCAGCAATGCCAATAAAGAGGTCTATTCTTTGGTTGTGTCATGTTAAGGATGCCTAGAGGGGGTCATGGGATTATTGACCCAACAAGACTGTTGTTTACATTGTTAGAACAATGCAATGGACAATCTGGGGGAATGAGAGTTGTCGATTTTCGAGGGGGCTCTTAAATTTACCTAACTTTAAAAATAGATGATCGGAACAGGTGAGGAGGATTGGTTCAGGGACAGCAAGAAATTTAGGGAGAACATTTTGAAAGAAAATTTATCAAGATTTTTGATATGATTTTTCCTGAAGTTTATAGCTAAACTGGTGGATTTTAAAGAAATAATTTCGAGGCCTATTCTATAGAATGTGAAGGCAGATTTATGATAGATAATTTTAAACGATTTTTGGGAAATTTTATTAATTTATAATTTAAAAGTGCTGTTGTAGCTATAATTAAAAATATTTAATATAGTTTTTTTATAAATTAACTTTATTTACTAATTTATTAATTTTATTTTTATTTTTTTAGGGAAAACTTTAAGTTTTTTAAGATAATCTTTAAGGAATTTAAGAATATTTATTAACTGCGTCAAATAGTGGTAAGGGTATTATGTCGTTGTGCATTTGTTTGCAACTTAAAGAAGAAAACGCGATTGACCAATAGTTACTTTTGAGGATCTGCATAGAATCACTTTCTGAGTCGATTTATGCATGTCAGGCCGTCGGTCTGTCTATGTATTTTTGTGAACAAAATGCAGGTCGCCTTTATTATCAGACTGAGATTGTCCAAAATATATTTGTCCAAAAAATATTTGCTTGGCCCAAGGATGAACCCTATTGAAATTTGCTGAGAATCGGTTCAAATTTAGATACAGCTCCAATATATAAATACAACCAATTTCGGGTAAATTGTGCACCAAATGGCCAATATCAGCCCAAATTACATGAATTTTGGGTCATCCCACCGAATTCAGGCATCAAATTCGGTTAAGATATAGCTATGTTTCGATTCACATATAGCTATATATGTTTCATCCGTTTTGGAGTATAAATCCCTCAAATGCGTAATATGCTCTCCACAACAGCAATCTTTGGTAGCCTTATAATTTGATACGGCCGAAACGGGCCTAGTCTAAATAACGGTTTTAGACCCATTGGACCAAATCCGTTTCAGGACATTTGGAGTCGATCTAGCGATGTCCGTCAGTACGTCTGTCCGGCTGACTGGTGCGCACGATAACTCTCGAAGAGAGTATCCGATTTGGTTCAAACTTGGTACTTCGTAATATTATTGTCAAAATTTAGATCGAGTTCCGAGATGGGTAACATCGATCCACTTCTTCTAATATCTATTATCTTCTAATATCCACAAAAGGTCGAATTGATCAAAGAAAATAATTTTTCGTAGAGAACGGAAGAAAGGATCCACCAATTTTGTTCAAATTTAACAAATCCTAATATTTTCGTAAGTGCTAGGTTAGGTGCGAAAATATCGCCCCAATTCTTCTGGTACCTCCCCCACAACGGGTAAAAATTTTGAACAGGAATGAAGATCGTAAAACGCGAAATGAGCATCCCATTCCTTTCAAACACGTAACACCCCAATATTTCTATCAACATAAATCATATGCTAGATATCGGCCTACTCCTTCAAAGGGTCAAATTTTTGAATAATTATAACTCCCATAAATTGCGAAATAAATTTCCCAAATTTCCCAAATCCCAATATTCCTACTAACACAAGATCTTGTGTGAAGGAGGAAGATATCCGTCCACTTCTTCTGATATCTCCCCCACAGTGGGTCAAAATATTGATTTGATTTTTTTTCAAACGTTGTGTATCTCGTTGGCGTATCTTTTTTTTTTTTCAACAAAAGACCTGGTCTAGATATTTACGTTATATGTAGGTCTAATCTTTCTGGTAACTCCCACATAAAAGTTTACCATTTGCCCATATATCATGTAAAGCGAATGAAGTATTCGATACAGATTCGTCGCAGGACTTATGTCATACTTTGGTCGAATGCGATATGGTCAAGATTGGGTCACTCCTTCGGTAATAACGTATACCAAAATAATTTTAATAAACGAACATAAGCCGAGGATATACATCTGTCAGCAAAACCGACTGATACTTTTTAGCTTGTTATACAGGTGCTTTGGCAAATTGTTCCACAGAGACATTGACTCGTTCTTTTGCTGGAGCTAGTCTTGGTTTTGGCCAAAGGGGTTTGAGTCCATTGCGCCACAAAATCTTTGGATCACAGTAGACCTGTCTCTTAGTTTAATAGGGGCGTCGACTTCGGTTACGTATTTTTATACCCTACACCACAAGGTGGTCGGGGTATTATGTCTTTGGGCATTTGTTTGTAACAGACAAAAGGAAACGAGATAGACCCATAGTTCCTTTTGATGATCTGCATAGAATCACATTCTGAGTCGATTTATGCATGTCCGTCCGTCCGTCTGTCCATGTATTTTTGTAAACAAAGTACAGGTCGCATTTTTTGCCCGATCCAGATAAAATTTTGCACAGATCATTTGTTTGGCCCAATGACGGAAATTGGAGATAATCGGTCAAAATATAGATATAGCTCCCATATATATCTTCATCCGATTTGCTTTTTATTGTGCACAAAACGTGTAATATTAGCCCGAATTGTATGGAATTTTGCATATACACCCAAATTAGGCCTGAAAATATGTACGCCAAATTTGATCGAAATCGGTTCAGATATAGCTATAGCTCCCATATATATTGTTCATCCGATTTGTTATTTTTGTCCACCGCCGCCGTAATATGCACTCTGCAACAACAATATTTGGGGAAATATATAAAATACAGCTCAGAAAAACATTTGCTAAATTTTAACGAGATCGGTTTAGATTTAGATAGAGCTCCCATATATAACATCGTCCGATTTACCTTTTATTGTGCACCAAACGTTTGATATTTGTCTAAATGGGATGAATTTGGCACATACGACCGAATTCAGTCTAGAAGCTAGTATGACATATTTGGTGAAGATCGGTTCAGATATAGCTATAGCTCCCATATATATTATTCATCCGAGTTGTTATATTTGTTACCCACAACCGTAATATGCACTCCGTAACAACGATATTCAGGGAAATATATCAAATACAGCTCAGAAATATCTTTGCCAAATTTTATCGAGATCGGTTCAGATTTGGATATAGCTCCCATATATATCTTTATCCGATTTCAAATTAATTGTGCACCAAATGGGCAACACAGGTCCGAATTTAAAAGATACAAATGCTTCGGCATATTTAGTTCTTTGAACTTTAAATTATAATTATAATCATAGCGTGTATGATTGAATTCTCCCAAAAAAACTTTTAATTGTTATGTGGAGCTCTATTAAATTAGCAGAGTGGTGTAGGGTATCATAAAGTCGGCCCCGCCCGACTTTAAGACTTTCTTTACTGGTTTCCTCATGGACTTTATATAGGAGTTATTCATGCGTTTCGGATCATAGTAGTAGACTCAGAGTTTCACAGGGGCTTCAGCACATTATTTCCCAGAGGGCCTAAGTTGGTATGTCCCAAGGTTTTTGAATCGGCTATTTGTTTATTCCACAGTGTGTATGGGTCTTTGATCTATTTGGCGTATTTATTTATTTACGAAACATAACCATCGAAATGTTCTGTTTTTTAGGATGTCAGGATACAAAATGACAGACTATTCATTAGAAAAAAATATGTCCAGGACTTTCAAAACACCAATATCAAGTGTATAGGAACTTCTTAGGATCTACTTCCCAATCAATACCAACATAGACCACTTTTGCGAGAATAGATGGGTTTTTATGAAAATTATATCCAGGACTTTCAAAATACCAAAATATCGGAAGTGTTGAAAAATGTGGCTGAGTTCCTTAAATGTGGGTCTCTCCTTTGGCTCTCACTGTGATCTAGTTCAACATCAAGCCCACCCAATGTCAACAAAAATTTTTTTTTTTTTTTTTTTTTTTTTTTTTTTTTTTTTTTGAGGATTGAACGGCCCATAGGTTACGTAGCATACCGTGCACTTTTCCAACAGCAGAACTGACGTGGTTAGACCATGAAAGTCTATCATTAAAGATAACTCTTTAAGACCGTTTTTCATAATTTTGACCAAAGTTTCCATCCAGTTCAAAATATTTTGGAACATTTTAGTATCATGAACGGCCGATAAAATTTTCAAATCTACGATTTGTTTCCGTTTACTCGCATCCTTCTTCCATATCCATATCCATAGTTTTCTCGAATGAAAGCTAGACAATTTCATTTCGAATTTATTGGAAAAACAATGTCTAACATTTAAGGTCACCTGCCTACCATCTCGATATATTCTTAATTTAATTTCCAATGAATTGAATAAAATATTAGATTTTTTTCACATTTCCTTACTTACCTGCAGTACACAATCTAGCATCCTCATCATAGCCATCAGAACAATCGGGTGCACCATCGCATAGATATTGAATTGAAATACAATTCCCATCACCGGGACACTTAAAGGGTTCATAGGGATGGCAGGCATCTGCAATGGAAGAGAAAGAGAGAGAGGGAGAAAGAGAGATAGAGATAATGAAATAAAGTAAATTGCAATATTGAATAAAATGTAAATTAAATTATTTCATTTTTTATTTGTCAGGCATTGTGACAGTGGTAAATTGGAATGTAGATGTTTTGGGAGAAAGGGGAGACAATGAAATTGATGTTAAATTATTTGAAAAAAAAATTGCAAAGTATCTGTCAGTTTTGCCGACAGATATACCCTCAGCTAGTGTTCAATTATTTAAATATGTTTTGACTTCTGTTATGATTATTCAAATTGTTGACCCTCTGTGAAGTAGGTTCCCGAGGAATGAGCCAATATTGTTCATTTCGTATCGGACCTAAATAAATTCGTTCAAAATGGTTGTAGGTTGTAGCTTCTTTTTTTTTTTGAAAATGTTGAAATTATGTGGGAAATGTGCCAGAAGGAGTTGAGTTGATATTAGGATGTAGTAAGTTTGGACCAAATCGGATACACCATTCGAGATTGTCGTATGAGTGTTGTGAACATGTATACACCATAGGGTCTCAAGCCTTTATTTGAATTGAGGATTATAAAAATATGTGTGTCTTCTTATCATCTCAAATACGTCCTCTATTCCAATAACTTAATGCCATTGCTTGACTTAAAGAGACGAAATTCCTAAAACCCTATATTTTCTTTGAAAAAATGTTATATACGCCCAAAAACTTCAATATCTCGGCATCAAAAGGCAAACAAAAATATTGAAAAAATTACATAAATTTTTCCCCGGAATAAAGCCATATACTCACGTACGAAATGGCTTTATTCATTCATCCCTTTACTTATCCTCTAATTACGTTTGTCCACATTTTGTCGGGCAACCGTAGATATCATAGACCAGCAACGTGTCCGATAAGTATCACTTGCTGCCCCCCACCCCATAAAAACCATTTATAATGATAATAATAATCTCACTATCATGGCATTGTTTACTCCACTCCTCCACGCGACACGAATTTCCAACAAGCATTTTATTATCTTTTCCGGTTTTTGGTGGTCAGTCGGCTGGATGGCTGGCTGTTCGGTGTCATTCAGTCATATGTGGTGGTCACTTTTAATTTCATTATATCCTCTCTGCAATCACATGGGCACACACACACACTCATACACACTCACAACAATTTTCAACGGAAACGAAACTAATCAATGATAGTGTCACAACAGCAAAATTACCCACTTTATGGCATTTCGAGTGGCTCTGACTGACCCAAACGCTATCTGATGGCATTAAAGCTATAATAAAATGGTTTAAATTGTTCAAAATGATTGTACATTTGCACATAACTATAAAATAATGATGAGCTTTCATTTGTGGTGGAGCAAAAAAAGAAACAGATATTTGTTTGTCTTTTTTTTTGAGACAAACTGTTTGCATGGAGGCGTAAACGGATATGGACTTACAAAACAGTTAATAATAAAATGGGTATGAATGACTGTGATTTTTTAAATGGTATCGCCATTAAGACATTTTAGTGTTGAAACGGCATTTGAGTCTTTTGCGGAGTTGAGGAATTATTTGTTAAATTTTTTCTCGCGAATTTTTGAAAACTTTTCTAATAAAATATGAAAATTTTAAGAAACTCTGTCAAATTGTTTGAAAACACGAAAATTAACCCTATTTTGACCCTCGTCGTTTTCCTCATCGCATCAAATGATTCAGTTATAGATCACCAAAATTTGCAAAAGAATCAAAGAAGGAATCACACTGGGAGGCTGTTTAGAATTTTGATTTCCTCTCTGGGGGATTGTATGTCAAAATGCTGAAATTTGTCGATATTTGCAAAAGTACAGGAATACCCTGAGATTTTTTAGATACAGAACTATTAAAAACCAGTAAGGAAAGCTCAAAAGTCGGCCGGGATCGACTATATGATACCCTACATCACTATGCAAGTTTAGTAGAGCTCTCGTAAAAGAAAGGTTTATATTGGGTATTTCTGAGCTCTATGAGATATCTGGTACAAAATATGATTATGGTAGAGTGCTTATTCCGAAAGTTGGAGATTTAAACACCAAATCGGATTAAACATATATATGGAAGCAAATTTGAAATTCTTGCTTCTATGCTAAATTCGGTTGAAGTGCGAAAATCCATTTTGACTAATATTAGCCATTTGGTGCACAATAAACCTGAAATCATATAATAATATGGGAGCTATGTCCAAATCTAAACCGATCTTTAGAAAATTTGAATCATGTATTGCTGGGCTGAATGTAATATCTGGTACAAAATATAATTTTTGTGGGGTGTATGTTCGGTCAAATTCGTTTTGTGACATTTGGAGTCGATATATGGATGTCCATCTGTACGTCTATCTGGCGAAAGTACCATCAAAAGGTCAACATCTTCACAGAAAATAATTCACCGTATAGAACAAGGGAGAATTATCCGATTTGGTCCAAATCCAAATATTTGTATTGGTACTATGTCTCCTATACGCAGGTTTATAAATTTTGAATATATTTTCTTATAAAATTCGAAATAAGCATCTGACTCTCAATCCAGGGGTTTCCATCCGTACTTCTGTCTGGGTGGTGCGTCGTAATATTATTGTCAAACAGTCGAGTTCGAGATTGGCAATACCGGTGTCAAAATGTTGAAAATATATAAATCTTATAAAATTCGAAATAAGCATCTGATTCTCTTCAAATTTCACACACCCTTATATCTTTATTAACACAAGATCTGTTGTGAAGATGACACATATCGGTTCACTCCTTCTGGTACGTCCTTCCACAAAGAGTTAAAATTTTGAATTACAGTGAAGCTAATAAAACCCGAAATGAGCATCCGACCACTTTCACACTCGAGACATTCCAATATTTACACTAACATAATCTGGTGTGAAGATGATATATATCGGCCCATCCCTGCTGGTACCGCCCCTACAAAGCGGTTTTCAAACTTGAAATATCCAAATATTCCTCTCAACTAGAGATCTTTTGTGAATATGGAATTTTGTCGGCCAGCTCCTTCTGGTATCTCCTCCACAAATGTTCAATATTTTCATTAACAATTATTCGCATAAAATTGATAATAATTGTCCAATTTTCTTTAAATTTTGCACATTTTAATATTTTTATTAGTATGAAGTGGAATACTTCGGTCCACTATCTGGTATCTCACTCACATCTCAATATTTTCTAAAATTATCGATATAGTCCAAATCTTGCACATTGTAATAACTATATCAGACTTAGATCAGATAGGAAATGGACGAACTATAATAGTACGCATTTGCAAAACTACCACCAGATACCAACAGAGACTTTAATAACAAATTAGAGGATTTCGACCATATCCAGTCAACATATGCCAAATTTAGTATCATTTAGTAGTTTTCGTACAAATATAGGGCGCATTTCCAAATGACCCCTATATCTTAACCACAGACATCAACAGTGGAATCTTTTTATCAAATATCAGAATTCCAGCCCTATTCCTTCACCCACCAAATTTAGTTGCATTTAGTACTTATTCAAAAATATAGGACACATTTCCAAACCACCGCCAAATCTCAACCTCTGATAGCAACAGTTATCTAAATATCAATTTTTTACCCAATACCAAATATAGTACATTCCGTGCAATTATGGAACACATTTCCTCCATATGTCTATGTTTCCATTCTATCGTTCTTAGCTTATTCCGTTTGTCCAAAACAAAGTATTAAATTCCGAGTACATTTTAGTACTTTTCGTTCCCTTTTATCGTCGATTTCCAAATCCCAGTCTTATCAGACGCCCACGCAACAAGACTGGCCTCGTTGCCCAAATTGTAGTAAATTTAGTAGAATTTAGTGCACATTAGAACAAATTTAAATAACTACCTACATACCTCAGACCTATATGTCGTATTTCCAAATTTCAGGATTCCAACTCCCAAAATTTAAATTATACAAAATTTAGTACCATTTAGTACACATAGTTAAGAATTTTCAAAACTTTATACATACGCCAATCCTACAATGCAAGAGTGATCTTATTTCCAAATTTCAGCATTTCAAATGTCCATCTATATCGGTTCACCCAAAGCGAAATTCTACCAAGTTTAGTACGATTTAGTACTTTTCCTGCACATAAGTATCAATATCGAAAACTACCTCCATATCTTAATCCTGCTATTTACCAAATGTAAGGATTCCAACTCCATCTAATATTTCATCTAAAATTTTTGAGTTTCGTTTGGGAGCATTCATCAACTCCGTTAAGTCAGACAGTCAATCAATTGATGACATAATATTTCTTAACGTCCATGCTTTTATAGTCCTTGAAATATATGCATTAGAAATCCACGCTTTGAAAAATATCCTTAAAAATCCAAGTTTCGATAAGCCTCAAAAATTTTCTTTGAAATAATCATAGTCTTGATAAGCCCAGAAAAAATATTCTCTCAAAAAATCCAGGCTTTGCTAAACCTTGAAAATTAATCTTTAAAAATTCCGAGTTTTTAAAATACAAACAAAAAATAACATTTTCTATGTCCTGAAATGATCACACGACCTTTTCTACATAAAGGCTTTCAAATGAAAATTGATGACAATTGACATTACCTTAAAGGAAAACATTTGTTTCACCAACAAATAAATCAATATTAACCGACATTGTTCTTATTTTCTTTCCAAAAATTAGCCACTGCATCCTTACCTTCAAAACAAATAACCTGTGTTATTGAGAAAGCTCTCTCCGGCATCAACACTCCATTCACTTTTGCTTATTTCTATCGCAGACGTCTTTCAATTAACATTTGCGACAAGTGAAAATTGAATAAGACAAAGCGATGATGACAACATAAACGAAGATACAATTACAACTTGTGGACAAAGACGAGGAGGAGGACGCCGAATAGTACACTTTATCTCTAAGTGCTTTTATTAATAAGATTTGTTAATGCCTGCGATATTTGAATATTCTTTGTATTCATTTTCATTATTTCGCTGTATTGGAATTTCCATGAA